ATGTAGAGTCATATTATCTTTGATTGAGTTCCTAACTAGGTAGAATGTTTATGATAACACCTTGGACAATCCTGAATGATGGCGATGAAATGGTGAAAATGGAGAAGACGAAGTTTTACCCTATTATTTTATTATTATCCCAGCTGGGAATTGAATCCGCGAAGGGAAGTTGTTACTACCAATAAAGAAGGATAAGAAATACCCATAAAAATGTATTATTTGATGATTGTTAAAACAAACAAAGTAGACTATAATTTTAGATCAACTATTAAGCCAAAATCATAGACAATTTCCGTTATTCCACCAAAAACGCTACCGACATATAAAAAAAATTGCGTCAGAAATACAAAAACAAACAAACTCGCTCTATAATTTAAAATATTTACTCTGATCTTGTACAAATTGGGAACCGCCAAAGTTCTGCCGAAAATATCTATAATCGGGAATCGAACCCGCGCCTCGCACCCAGTAATCAGGGTTAATCGCTTGTTTGACCGAGTTGTTTGCGAAGGGCTGGATAAAAACTTCTCCGGTAATTTATGGCGTCAGTATAAATAATAATTACCTACTGCTATTTTTAGGTATGTAGGTATATGACAGGAAATCTATAGAGAATTAAGTAAGTTTCTATGTAAAAAATGCGGATTACTAATGTTTGGCCAAAAAACGTTTCCCAAATTATCACATCGCAAACAACGTTTCGCAAATTTTCATTTGGCAAATTCTCATTTGGCAAAGCAACTTATTGCAAACTTTTAATTCGCAAATGTTGTTTTTGGCATATTATTGTTTAGCAAATTATTGTTTGGCAAAGTATGGTTTGCCAAATGTTTCATTAGGCAAAAATATTTCACGATAAACTAATTACAAAATAATTTGATTGGTGCATAGAATGGATACAAATTAGCTTGTGGTTATTATTTTGTTTAGTGGGTAGTTAATATAAAATTTGTTCTACATTAATTTCCTTATTTCATTCTTTTTATCGAAATTTCCAAACGATTCATTAACAATAGAGGTGATTCTAGCGCTCGGCGGCCGCTGCCGCGGCACGCTTCGCTCGCCTTCGCGCATTAAGGGTCACTGTTCTAACCTAACCTAACCTACTTCTTTCTGTAATACCTTCTTTTTGCAACCATACTATTTCCTGCAATGTTTTACATAAAAGTCTTGTGAAAACCATGATCATGTGCCTTATACTTTGATTTGTGGGTAACGGTGGGTAAGTATGTGAAGTGTCAATTTGACCAAACAAATAATTTGGGATATAATATTTGGCAACATAAAACATTTGCTATATAAACATTTGCCAAGTAAAATTTGGCCAAATGATAATTTGATCAAATGAATTAGTTGCGAAAAGTACAGTTGCTAAAAGTTCATTTGAGAAATGAAACTTTGGCGATAATTTGTTTGCGAAGTGAAATTTGGCGAAAAGTAATTTGGCCAAACGGAAGGATACCAAAAAATGCTCTTGTTGCAAAGTACCTACGATGATAAGAGATAGACTCTATTGCGGTCTGTTGAGGTTCTATTTCCAATAAAACAACCAAAACAGAAACGCAAATACTTAATATAGGAAAACGCGTCAGTTTTCCATATATTAATTAGAGCAGTCTATTCAGTATGATCAATTTATTTGAGAAAATATTTTTTAGCAAATGCTCATCTAAGTTACACAGTTTCTATTTCAAATCCTCCAGCATTCAATTTGGTTCTCATAAAAAAAACATCATTAAAATCATCCGCAATTTGCTCTCCCCATTTTTTCTTGCACAAATATTTGTTTAAAATATGAAACGTTGTGTAATTTGCCAAAAACTGTCAGCGGTGCAAATATGAGTTATTAATACCAATATTTGTTCTAACTACCATTGTCGAAAGGGACCGAATTGTTTTTTCTGCAACAAAAACAGTATCTGCATAATGAAGTGTGCTGTAATTATCGTTTATCCTTTTTTTTCTCTTAGAAACTTCAAAATAAGTCTTAAGTATTACAAGTTAAGAGCTAGTAACACCGCAAACGCATTTTGTAAACACCTTACTCTATAATATTTACATTCAAGCAATAAGTAACCATATTGTCCTTACATAACGTCATTTTTCGCGTGTACTTCATAAAAAGTATAGCGCGACAATGTTCCTCTACCGGTATGCGACAAAGCATTTTTTTCTCAATTTTTTTTGGCTAAATGTCTTGGTGGCCAGTGCCGAGGCACTGACTGGCAAATTTGATATACCATTGTTGGAACTATTTGTTATATTATTTTGCGGTCTCCTTTTGTTTTTTTTTTTAAACAATGATAGCTCTGTAATTAGTTGCGGTTATGATGCGCAATTATTTTTGTTTTCTTTTTTCAAAGCCGAAAGAGAAGTAGAAGTCAGGACTTGCGGAATAACAGATAAATTGTAAAGATTTGAATCACTTCAGAAAATAAGTTAACTAAAGCTAAATTAGGAAAATGATTTAGTGGTTTGTTAAAAAGAACTTTGCAATTTTATTTAAAGTTCTCACTTTAGTTCGTCTAGTAACATTAGTATTCAGTGGTCTAGCTAAGATTGCCCGTTCTTAGTTGTCCTAGGATGTCATGTCAGACGAACATGATTAGAGATTTAGACCCAGAACAGACGGTGAAACGCAACTGCAACGAAACTGCAACTTACTGATAATTCTGATGAATGAAACTGAAACTGAAAGTTTTAAACTGGTCGCATCATGTATGGTCTCTCAAAGGACGCTATGGCAGAAACTTAGATGCAACTCAAAAGTAACTAGCAGTTGCAGTTTCGTTTAGTTGCGTTTCACCATCTGTTCTGGGCCTTAGACATTAGGGTTGCGACCTAATTAAATGCCTAAACTCATATCATACAATAAGTTCTCATGGTAGAGTCACTTATCTGCCTGAAGATATTATACTATCATCCCACCCAGAATCAGTTTCGACCAATTTAATCCTTTCAATTAATAAACTATAGAAAAATCCGAAAGCAAGGTCCCTGTTTGTTCGTCACAAACTACGGCCTTGTAGCAAAAAATACCATCGCGTGATCTCACATCCTTGAGAGGAAATTCAATAAATTGCCGTCTTTTATACTATTTATTATTTAATATTACAAGTGGCAAGGGCATCTTTTTATGCCGTCCGTTTTGAAAAGGCATTTTTATTGTTACGCCCGTTTTGAAATTCTTTCGCGGGATAATGATAATGAATGATATAGTGGTTTTAAGTATTGGTTAATATACCAAATAGGTACTGACAATACATCAAGGTATAGACTCTGTGACATCATACCTAAGTTAATAAGTAATTGAAATTAGTTAAAAATCAACGTTTTGATAAGAGATCTTGATTCTATAACGTTTGTTGATTGTACGAGTATTTACCTGTGTGCGTCACCAAGTTGCATTCGAATAGATTCATTTAATGCAATATTGCAGGACCGTTCATTGTGGAAAACCTTGGGGGAGGCCTTTGTCCAGCAGTGGACGTCATTTGGCTGAAACGATCAAATCAAATCAAATCAAATCAAATTCGTTTATTTGTGGAACATAGGTAAATAACATATTACAGGTGTTAAAAATTAAGTCGGTATCACTATGTTTGGCCCAAGGTCGGCGTACAAATTTACATAACATCATTGAGTCGTATTAGGTTAGTAGAAATTAAATAAAATAAAAAGTAAGTTAGTAATGTCCAATCAGTAACAATTTCATAAACATTTAAACATAAAAAAAAAGGTCAAGAATCTTACAATTTGTCAGTTAAAAACTCTGTCAATGTATAGTAGGCTTTGCTTAATAATAAGGATAGCAGCTGCTTGCGAAATATCTGAATATTTGTGTCTTTTAGTGTCTGTGGTAATTTATTGAATTTAACGATGAATGCAATATTGTATTTTAAATGATGTGTATTTTTCTGTGCCATTTTCATCAGCAAGCAGCGTTTTGTGTAACTCTCTTCGTGTATAAAGTGCGATGAAAATCACTTCCTATGAAGATGACTCACAAGTCGGCCAATTTCATATTTATAACAAATTGCTATCTAGACTTATCTCCAAGTCTCTATCTTAATTTGCCATAAGTTATCGTTTTCTATCGTTAACCTATACAAATTGTCTTGGCTCCAAAACGGAAACGTAACGCGTTGACTCAAGTTTGGAGGTGTTGAGGTGTGAATGATACCCTGGAGGCATAGTTAACAAATCAACACTTTCGTTTTCATCAAACACTAATCCCAAATCAAATCAAATACTGTTTAAGTTATTAAAATAATTGATCGAATGCTTAGGATCGATTTTCAAATGTGTTTTGAATAGATTTAGATAATAATTTAAGTATTAGAAATCAAAATTCAATTATTATCACGCCATTGCTTCTGTATACTTCCTCCGATCATGTAAAACAAGTGTAAATAAAAAATAGCCATTATAGAAGCTTAAAAGTTGATGGTAAATTATTTCAAACTGTCTGTCTACTGTTTCAACAAAATATAAAAATGCTAAATAGTGGTGAATACTTTTCTAAATAGTACATATATTAACTAAATTACAGTTATCCTAAGCTCAAAAACAATAGAAAAAAAGATAAACAATTAATGTCTCAAATTGATGGCTACTAAAGATACTGAGGCTAAGTTGCACCACCTAACTTCAAGCGTAACTATAACGATAACCGGTGCTATTTGTATGGTCTTTAACAGATTTTGGATGTTTGTTAAAGTTAAAGTAAGACGGTGCAGCCCAGCCTTTAAAAGTTTGCAACGCTTGTGCGTTAGCAGGTTTGGTTCCTGCTAAAGGCAAATGAGATTGTGGTGCGCACGAGCATCTCTTTCAAGTATTATCCATTACTGGCATTTACGGTAATAATAATAATAATAATAATAAGCCCCCCATAGTCCAACCTTTCGTCCGAGCTCGACCAACTGAGCCACGTGGGGGGCGGACACTCGCAATGAATTTACCGTGCGGGTGACCAACAAGGCAAGGGCAAACCCATAAATATGGAGCTTCGTTCAAGAAAAGTATTGAGAATAGAGTCGCTGCCCGGGGGCGATCGCCGGGGCGCACCTGGAGCCGACGCTGGGTGTCTCAGTATGCGAACCGTCGGTGGCGAGGAGCTGAGCAGGCGGGCTCCCGCTGGGCATGAACCCGAAATTACTACAGCCGATTCAATAGACCAGCAAACTGAATCTTCATCACCAACTTCAAGTCTTTTCGAATCACTTGCATCGAGTCCGACATATAGAAATTCCCGCAGCTCATCAACCAGTAGTATGCTACTTGAGGATGTTGTACAGAAGACATCATTTGTCGCAAATTCTGAACCCACCTCTAGCAGCCAAAAAGTGCGTAGGAGATGGAATACTGCAATGAATGAATTTATCCTACGCACATATTTGCAAATCACTCAGTTAGAAACAGATACCAAAGCGTATCTACCAAGATTGCATGCATTATTTATCGAAAACTTCCCGGAAATGAAAGATGTCAGCCGACAGAGAGTTGGTGACCAACGTAGGGCAATTATCCTTAACAAACTCTTACCACAAAAAACTATAGACAATATTCATAAGGAGATAAAAGCAACGATTCAAACTAATCCATCCTTTGAAGACAATAGGCCAACTTACGCAACCGTTACTAGACAGAACTTAACCCAAAATACTACCACACCGCGTACACGTATGAGATGGACAAATGAATATAATGAAACTTTAATAAGGGAGTATTATAAATTAACTAAAATAGAGACTGATTTGACAACATACAGACAGAAACTTCACGAAGCGTTTATTGCAAAATTCCCACACCTATCACACATATCACAACAAAGAATCTCCGACCAAAAAAGGCTAATACTAACCAACAAATACATTCAGGAGCACAGGCTAAACGCCATCAAAGAAGAAGTAGCTAAAGAAATCGAGGCAACGGAAAGCCTAGAAGTAACACACGAACGAACTGGCAATAGTAATAACGACACATATATAGATACTGAAGCAACACTTACAAACAGCACATTATATACTCAAGATTGCACGTTTAATCTGGCTCCTCCCTCAACAAATATTCAGTTAAGTACAGAACAAGAAACACAGACAGAAATTAATAACCACAGTAGGGCGCATGTAGTGGAAGAAAGTGAAGATTCTTTAGTAAACCAACTAGCAGATGAACTACAGAATACGTTAACACAATATGCAGAAATAGAACCAGAAATGAGACCAAAACTTCCAAAGCTAAGAGAATGTAAGAAACTATACAAGCTAGTAAATTTATTCAATATGAGCATCCTCCAAAAATTTGTCGACCCTGACTCAGACATCTTACATTTACACACCATAATCTACTGTAGTGCCATTGTTATCAGTAAGCGTTTGGGATACAAAATAAACATCAATACACCTACCCCCAAAAAGCAAATCACAAAACCACCGTGGCAAATTAGACTAGAAAAAGACATCACAGACTTAAGAGCAGATATTGGAAGATTAACACAATATATTAATAACAATAGATCTAAGAAATTAGTCGAAAAAGTAGAAAAGATCCTAAAGAATAATAAGAAACATTCCACCCATGAGAACAATAACTGTACACCACATGATGTATTGGACACATTAAAACAAAAACTTGCACTCAAAGCACACCGTTTAGCTCGTTACATAAAGGCTTTAAATAGGAAGAATGACAACAAGATCTTTACAACGAATGAAAAAGGTTTTTACAGGTCACTAGGTAATAATAATATAAATAATTCACTTGAAAACAATGGAGTACCAACTGAAGAAGAAATAAGGAACTACTGGGCAGATATATGGGAACGAGAACAAGATCACAACGAAGGAGCTAACTGGATTAAGGAAGAAGAAAGCAAATGGGAAAGTATACAAGAAATGGAATTCACAGATATCACCAGGGAAGATATAGAAATAGTTACAGCAAAAATGAAAAATTGGAAAGCCGCTGGGTTAGATGGGCTCCAGAACTTTTGGTATAAGAAATTGTTTATTCTACATGACATACTAGCAAAGCGAATAACAAATATCCTAAAAGGGGAAGAAGAACTACCTGATTTTGTAACAAAAGGCATAACCCATCTGCTACCAAAGAGTACAGAGACATCTAATCCTTCGCAATATCGACCGATCACATGTTTGACTACATTATATAAATTAATTACTTCATGTTTAACACTTAAAATTAACAGACATATCGAAAACAATGATATACTGGCCGAAGAACAAAAGGGATGCAGACAAAATCACAAAGGATGTAAGGAGCAATTAATAATAGACCAAACAGTTCTTAAACATGCACATAAAAATAAGAGGAATTTACACGTTACTNGGGAGTGTGATCTTTGGAAACATGAACGTGATATAATGCTTAATTCAATACAACATACATCTGTTTCCGCAATTTATTACACCGATCTTGTCGCGACAAGGAAAAATTTCCGTGCTTTTAAGCGATTTTGTGAAAAATATTATTGGCAGGTAGTTGCTAATTGCTCATAAGATAGGCCCCCTTAATTTAATTTATTGTCCGTGGTGCATAATCTTTTTCTTAAAGGTTTTAAACCTTTGTTTGTCACCTGTCATCCGCTTTGCAATGGAGGGAAGTCGAACCTTAATTTCGAACTCCTCCTATGTTCTTCTGATTAATTTCGTTGCGGGTCCAATGACAGTTTAACTTTCCCCCGGGACAAACTTGACCTTCATTGGTTGGGTTTTTGTGGCGGTCAAGCTGTAGATCCTGGCTACACAGGAGTTGCAGTGGTGGGAACGAGAGGTGGGAATAGTCCCGTTTATCATAATCCTAGCTCGAGCCCTGTCATCCACTGGACTATCGTGGTGAAACCACTTACAGATATTGACAAAAAACATATTTTGTTCATAGCAACTACAAGAGTTCTTTAAACTTTAACCAAAGATAAATAGCATTGAATAAGTAACTGTATTTTTCACATGATTTTATAGACAGAAGCCGTTCGAATGACTTAAAACCAAAATAATAACCGCAAATTAACTGGAGACATTTATCATTATTGAAGCCTCGATCCCGCTACCTCTTATGTCCCATCAACCAATGCGTGTAGCAACTGAAAGAGCGTCAATGAGCCAAGTGTGTCACGTCAATATCTACTGAACCAATTCATGTCACTTCACGACTTGCATCTTAAACGTTTGTATTCTTTTATCTTAAAAATCGAGCAAGTTCAAAAGAAACAAAAACAGACCATGACCTACTTTGGGAAAGAGGTTCTTTCAGAATAAGGCTTGCAGATAATATTGGTGGATTTATTTTTGAATTTTCTGATCAATTGCTTTTTCTACTAGGTACACCGACGATCTGATGAAGGTCGCGGGTGGCACCTGGATACGAGTGGCGCAGGACCGGTCTTTGTGGAAATCCTTGGCCTTTGTTCAGCAGTAGACGTCATTCGGCTGTAATAGACCAAGGAACTAGGTGTAGGTACCCACCACGGTGAACCCATAAGAAAAGGTTATGATTATGTTCTTCCGTGGCACCTATTCATCCAGTTTTGATAAGTACGACGTTATTATGGCCTACGTTTCATCAGAATCGAACCAGCGGAACGATATTTTCTTATTAAAATAATAGTATTAATATCTAAACTGTGTAGGTTTGTTGTCGACACGAAAAGAAGAAGAAGAATATCTAAACAGGTTTTAACGTGATACGCGAGTAAGTAACATTGAAAATTACCTGTATTTGCCTGACGTTCCGACCGAGTTGCACCGGCCGTGGTCACAGGCTGACTGGAGCGTCGAGTGCGCGATTCGTATTTCAATTAAATTAAGTATTAATAGGTATCCTTCATAAACAAACTCAAAGAGCTTCAATAATAATCCTAATTTCCTTGAAACCATCCTTACTTTCCGCGTTCTTCGACAGTAGAAATTGCGCTACTTCTTCACGGTGGCGTGGTCCCGTTTATGGCATTCCTTACAAATTGCACGAATCAAACCTATTACTGTGCACACGACAACGTAACGGAGGTAAAAAAACTATCCTAGCTATCAGTTTTGGTACCTACTACATGTTAGTTTATCGTAAACTTTGTCAATAAGAATAAGTAAATTAGAAATTGCCTAGCTCACCACATAATTATCTTGACGGAGTTTTTAGAGCTTTATCTTGACAACATCGGTCTAATTATTGTCCCAAAGCTAGTTAGTAGCAAATATTGTATGTCTTGGTGTTTCTTTGCGAGATCGAATCAGAAATGAGGAAATCCGTAAACGATTGTAGGTGGAAAAAGTTATCTATTTACTTACTAAAACGTCGTCTTTCCATTTTATTAAACAGAACAAGGCAGGTATTGGACCGCAATCGCACCTGATGATAAGTGAGATGCAGATACATAGTAGGTACATATCTGCCCTGTAAGTGACTATTTACTCTCGCCTTGAAAAGGCCCGGATTAAAGTTTTCGGGAAAGACAGCAAATATGCATAAAATTCTAGTTCCTAGTTGTTTTTTTTTGCCTGAGTTATTGGAGCAATTTTTCGAAATCCAAACCTATTGATTTCTTACATGTGTGACCTAACTTACACCCAGAATAGCGCAATCACACAATCGGCACAAGAGAATCAAATACTACTAATTCTTCCTAAAACCCAAAATCAACCGAATAGTCCAATCCCATACCACACAAGATGCTGCAATAGGAAATGACAACAAAACGGAAGCTATCAGTAGCAAATAACACATAAACGTTTCTATCACTATAAACACTTGTGACAGACCGACAGACAGTTAGCGAGATTACAGGGCGGCGTTCGGAGCTGTTACATTTCACGCCAATAACTTTTTTAACAACTTGGGGGGTCAAATCTGAGGTTTTTTCAATAATCGTTTGTATTTTTTAAATGTTTTATTTACTGGGAGAATTGGGGATTGCTTTTAAAGTCCTTGAAAGCCTATCAGGAACTTAACCGGAAGATAGAGTACGACTTTTGTTCTCACTGGTCTCGATAGAGGCAGATACAGGTAAATTATTGTCGTGTACTTGCTTCAACTTTCAGGAATTTTTTTTTTTCAGGAATTGTTATTGTTACGCTCATACAACGCTATCATAAAGTGGGTAAAAGTAATGAAACTACTACAAAGATTTTAGCATATATGTTGTAGGGAAATTTGCACTGGCTGGGTAGATCCTATTGTTGTTTATAGGCAACAGTAACATTGTAGCAAAAGTTCAAGTCTGAAGTGATATTGACCCTTCAGAAGGCACATCACTCATAAGTAAGTCTTATTAAATAGGACCAAGTATTGAAATAAAAACATAACTAAACTTAAAAAACAAAAGAGGTAAAACCTCGAAGCAGGTTGAATCATTAGAATGTTAAAAACAATGCTACTAATATTTATGACTAATTATGTAATTTATCAAAAGCATTTCTACGAACGCATCCATTTGTTTGATGTCTTCACAATGGTGACTATAAATATTCATGAGAAGCCGCAGGATTTGGCTTGTATTATGTTATCAAAATTATGGTAATTCACTTAGAACATAATCATTGATGATCATGATCAGTGATCAGACTGATCGGCCATACGCATCGGGTTTATGAAGACAAATTGTTGCAGATTACGTTATTTATGTATGTTGTTCAACAAATGGTGATGCCATTAATACAAATTTACAAAGTAGTGATAAGTGCAAGGCTAATTCAAATTGTTGCTTAATCATCCGCTTATAAAACATGAAAACAAAAGAAGAATCCCCTGTGTAAGCCATTACAAATATGGTCTATACAGTGTGTCCGGGCNGGAGTGGGTACAAGTCATGTTTAAGTAGTTTGGGGCTAAGTTCTTATTGAAAATTTCCATATCTATAAAGGCTATAATTTATAGCCTTGGCTGGATTCAGAAAAACCCAAATACATTTAAAATTATACTTTTAACAATCAAAATCACGATAAAAGCAAATTGCAGTCCAATTAAGTAAATCTCGCAGTGAAGTGCTTTTATTCGAGATTGGTCTTTATACACTGGATTTGGGTCGAGCTGCAGCTTACTACAAAGTTGAGCTTTTAAGCGCTTCGAGTTCAAAAGGCGAAATACTTGCCTTACAATGTATATGGATGGCTGGACAAAGGCGGAAGCGGTAGCGAGTCGCGGATATGAAAATAATTGTATTAAGTATCTGTATCATATTGCGGTAATAGTCCAATGGTCTCAATGTCGAATAGGTCGACTCAAAATCGAGGAACGCTGGCTCAAGCCTCATCGTTGGTACTACCGACTATTGTGGTAAAACCACTTACAGATATTAAATGTCTTTTGTTCTGAAGATACTACAGGAGTTCTTTAAACTTTAGCCAAAAATAAGTAGCATTGATTAAGTAACCGTATTTCTCACAAAGATAATAAGCAATGCATAAGTTTTAAAAATTAAATTGTATAGTCAGAAGCCATTCAAATGACTTAAAACCAAAATAATAACCGCAAATGAACTGGAAACATACCATTGAAGGCTCGATCCCGCTACCTCTTATGGCCCATCAACCAATGCGTGTAGCAACTGAAAGAGCGTCAATGGGCCAAGTGTGTCACGTCAAAATCTACTGAACCAATTCATGTCACTTCACGACTTGCTTCTTAAACGTTTGTATTCTTGTATCTTAAAAATCGAGCAAGTTCAAAAGAATCAAAAACAGACCATGACCCACTTTTGGGAAAGGGGTTCTTTCAGAATAAGGCTAGCAGATATATTGGTGGTTTTATTTTTGAATTTTCTGATCAATTGCTTTTTCTACTAGGTGGACCGACTATCTGGTGAAGGTCGCGGGAGGCGTGACCCATCACGGTGAACCCAAAAGGAAATATAAATAATAATAATAAAATAATTTGTTCACAGAAGGATTTACAACAACAACTTAAAGGTTATGATATGTTCTTCCGTAGCACCTATTCATCCAGTTTTGATGAGTAAGACGTTATTATGGCCTAGGTTTCATCAGAATCGAAAGAGCCGAACCTTTTTTTGTTATTAAATATTAAAATAGTATCAATATCTTTCATAAACAAACTCAAAGAGCTTCAATAATAATCCTAATTTCCTTGAAACCATCCTTACTTTCCGCGTTCTTC